GACAGAAAGAGCACAGAAGAGACAGAAACAAAGCAAATCAACTTAAAATGAGAGTTTTCTGACACCAAGGCCCACAAAAAGACAGAAAGAGCACAGAAGAGACAGACACAAAGCAAATCAACTTAAAATGAGAGTTTTCTGAGAGTTTTCTGACACCAAGGCCCACAAGAAGACGGAAAGAGCACAGAAGAGACAGAAACAAAGCTAATCAACTTAAGATTTTTGACACCGAGGCCCACTAGAAGACAGACAGAGCACAGAAGAACCCACCCAAAGCAACTTTTTTATTGTAAATTACAGTATTTTTGCACCTTCGAGCCTGCCTCAAGACACCCTAAAAGTTTGCAAATCACAATCTCGAACTTTCACCCTCCCCAAGGAGCTGAGGTGGTAAGCGATAGAAGCATTTGCGATGTCAAACGAATGATTCCCAAAAGGTGCAATCAAAGGACTGAGTTTTCGTTTGTTTTGTCCATGTATTGAAGTCAGTCCATGCATCAAGCAAACGTTCGGCTTCATCCCGGACATCTCCCCTCCAGAGATGGTGCACATTGGACAGGTAAATGATAGCTCCACCAGCAAGCCACAGTGCATACCCCAAGTTCAGAGAATGCATGCTGCAAAACTTTATTTGCATTGGGTCGAAAAGGGGAAGTTGAGTCAAGACGCTTTAGAAAGCACAGGCTACTGGTTGGCAAGTAGACAGAAACAAAGCAAATCAGCTTAAGATTTGACACCAAGCTCTCAGATCCAGCGACCCACACTGAGGTGGTGCCTTTCAGGGTTAATAATACTGCTGGTCTTGCTTTTTGGCTTGTTGGTCGAAGCCTCCCGAAAGCGGTCTGGTCAGCACTCCTTTGTTTGTGGGAGATTTGCAAGCCGCAAATTCCAGCATCTTAAGTTGCGCCTGACGCGCATTGCTCCCAGAGAAGAACCTTGCTCGCTCCCATTCAAAGCGGCGTTTCGGCTGACTATGACGTCGCTGTGGCACTTCGTCGATCATGGCACGTGCCCTTGCTACCGACGGCGCGGCGCTGCTGGCGTATGGCCGCTCTACCAGCACTGCCGTGCGAAGCATCCGAAGAAGGCCGCACGACCGCGGCGGCCATTTGTCGTGCTTTGTGGATCGTTCGTTTCCTTTTGGACGTGTCCTTCTTGACTTTATGTTTTGTTCAATGTCATCCAAACGTTACAATAGCAAGCCATGCGTTCCTTCCAAGCATATTCTTGCACCTTCCATCCATGTACCTTCGGGGTGGTATATGGCTCGCTGGACACTTTGCGCCATCCAGACATGCATCAGCCCAGAAAGAGTTGAGAACCTCGATTGTGGCCTTGTCATATACGCCGCGTACGCCGGCCACATCGCAGGATGACCTCCTGGACGCCCTGGAAGACATGATGGAAGTCGAGCAACGTGAGAAGGAGGGGCGTGAGGCGGATCATGATGCACGCACATTGTCGGATCATGGCCGTGTGTGCGCGCCTCGTCGGCTCGTTCTCGGCAAGGGGCTCGACAAAAGATTGAGATCGAAAGCTTGGTACCTTTTTGGTGGTTTCTGATACCCACTTGTTCAGGCGCGTCATGGAGATGACCGTGACCACTCGCCGGCCGAGGAGCGCGCAGTCGCTCGCAATGCAATGACTCCCCGGACAGAACACGTTTCTGACAGGTGAACCCATGGTATATCACAACACTCCCACTGTTTCATCTCGGTTGAGCGACTTTACCTCCATTGATTTGGGCATCCATGTGGTTATGCTTTTGGAGTGGGGCAGAGGATGCTCGACCCAATCGCCCAGGAGCGAGATGCGCGGTTTGACGAAGACAAGGCTACTGTTGCTCGCTGCAAGTCGAGCGGTGGGGAGGGACGTGGACGGTATTCGAAGTTTGGCCATCTCTGGTCCCTTGTAACACTACATGGTAACACTACATGCGCAAACGAAAAACAGTGAACCTTCAACGAGAACGTGCTTGTGTTCGGGCTCGTGGGCTTCGTCTTGTTTTTCTATTGACGTGTCCTGTTCGAGTTAGCTGCTGTGTTATGCGGTCAAGCTCCGCAAAACCTAGTATCAGACCGGTCAGGCGCAGCGCCGAGATGATGACCTTCCATTGGTTGACGATCGCGATCGCGACCGTTCGCGACCCGGAGCTCCCTGGCCTGAGTTTCTTCACCGCGAGGTTCGCACACTCTATGTGGACTTCGGCCAAAAGTCTACAATAAAAAACAGAGGGGTCGAAGGTAGCTTGTGATGTTGTTTTTTCCATGGTATTGTCCAGCGGGCCCCCGGCTAAACACACCTATTCTGCAGCTGGGCGCTAGGTTTGCGGTAGATTTGGGCTAATGTTTGCCTTAGGAAATGTTCAGATTGTCGTCAGGTGTTCGAAAAGTGGCCGGCTGAAAAATGCGCTGGCCGCGCGCTGGCCCTGCGCTAGATCCGCGCAAGCAAACATCGACAGATTCCAACGTAGACCCTATCCAAGGCTGACTTGCTACATGTCTTTTGTAGCACGCATGGCGGCTCGAAACTCGGAGCTCGATCGAAAACGGTGCAGCGCTTGTGACGCCTCTTACACTTTGGCACCGCTACTTGTTTGGTTCATGTTTCTTTCATTAGCTGTGTGTGCCAAAAGTAAAAACTATGTAGCGGGCCTCCATGTGAAGTCATTCTTAACTGTGCAGTCTACCAGTAAAGATGCCACAGAAGCTGCGCCATAGTGGCATTGCGCTCAGGTGCAGCGCCGAGATGACGATGTTCCATTGACTGACTCTCGCGACTACCGCGACTATCGCGGTCGGGAGCGTTCACGAAACTCCAGAGCTCCTTGGCGCGAGTTTCTCCGCCGTCGGGGTTCGTGCACTCTGTTTGTCCTAGGTATCCATCGAGTTTCATACGTACAGTCTACCAGTAAATACCACAGGGACTGCAGATCTGGTGAGTGCGTAGTGACAACCTCCTGTCATGTTTAGGTTAGCTGCTGTGTGGTGCAGTCATTGGCTCTGTCAAGCCTGATCTCAGACCGCTCAGGCGCTGCATCGCGACGACGAGGCCGACTATCGCGATCGTGAACGCTCACGGTGCTCACGAGACTCCAGGGCTCCTCGGCATGAGTTTCCTCACCGTCCACATTCGTGCACTCTGTCTGTCCTATGTCTGTGTGAAATTTAATACATATAGTCCTCCAGTACAGATACCGCAGGAACCGCACCGTGGATTTGGCGAGCGCATGGTGGACCTCCGTGCGAGCCGCTCGGCTTAACCTTTGCTCTCCTTCTTTTCGTCCACGGTTCTCTATATGCATGTACCCACTCGTAGGCCTGATTGATGCCCGTGAGCGGAAACCACAAAAAGTGACGCTGCAGAAACGCAAACGAAAACCGTCGAACTCCGTCGACGTCCGTCGAAATCCATCGAACTCTGCGGACCGGTGCTATCTCCGCGCCCGCCCGACTTGTTTGTCACGCGCCCGGCCACCCATCAGGCACGACGCGACCGAAGAGCCGCCCGCATCCATCCATGGGTACGTTCTTCCGGAGCCTGGCCGACGTCATCGATCCCTGACGTCGGGCGCTAAGACTGGACCTAACTAACAAGAGTGTCACCTAACCCACCTTCCAGGTTGTGTCTTTTCTTTTTTTCATGGGGCTTGTTAACCTACCAGGAATATGCACTACAATCATGTACAAGACGGTTTCCGTAAAGGCTACGAAGGGTAGACAATATACACCATAGGAACATAACATTTACTATCATCTGATCTTAGCTGTCTGTATCTATTTGCATGACCCCTGAATGCATGGCATGCATACGACCCTTGAACGCAGTGCCAACCACTGGACGGCTCTCAGGTATTGACGATTTG